CACACACACACACACACACACACACACACACACAAATAAAATTTAAAAAAAAAGAACCAAAATGAGCTGCTAAAATAGTGCTATAACAAATAAAAATGTCCTTTTTTCTGTGTGTGGTACAGGTGATTGAACCCTGGGAGCACTGAGCTACATGTCTGGCCTTCTTATTTTATTTCATTTTGAAATAAAGTCTCACTGTATTGCCCTGGCTGAGTTTGAACTTGTAACCTGATGGGTCTTGCCCACACAGCAGTCTACCTGGTCATCATGGTGGAATACACACGCCTCGGGATCCCAGAACCAAGGACGGCTAGCTGCTCCTCGACTGTTTTCTATTCCCTCTCCCCAGGTTACTGGAACTTCCTCTTTTGATATTTGTGCACTAACCCTCCCTCTGTGCCTGCTGAGTTGCTATGCCAACCCGTGTAAACTCCACCTCTAGCCCAACCCCATAAAGGCTCCAACCTCTGGGCCTCAGAGATAGCTCAGTAGTCTAAACCGGGTGTGATGGCACAGGCCTATAATCCCAGTGCTGGTGAAGCTGAAACAGGAGGATCACTACAAGTCCCAGCTGCGTAGTGAGACCTTGTACCAAATACATACATAAATAAGTTCCAACTTCTGTCTCCACCTTGAGAGTCTCCGGCTTCTATATTGCCCCCCCCAGCAATAAAGGATTATTTTGCTTTCACCCCTCTCTTTTGAGCTAGAGAAAGGAGCCTTACATAAGCCTCCTGCCTCAGCCTCCCTAGTAGCTGCCATTATGGGCGTGCACCACCATGCCCAGCTTGAAAAATTTCTTTGACAGGCTCCTCTGTGGACTAGACCCTGGGAAGGTAGGGGTCAGTGAACTTGAGGATATGTCAACAAAGTATTCCCAAACTGAAAATTAAAAGAAAAAATGAATGGAAAAAAACTAAGAGAATGGCTAAGCACATGTAACATAAATGCCAAATGGGAGGATACATGGAGATGAAAGAAAGAGAAGCAGAGTTTGAAGTAATGATAACTGAGGATTTCCCAAGTGTATTGGTAATCATTAAAATGATCCGGGTTGGGGCTGGTGAGATGGTTCAGTGGTCTAAAAGCACCTATTTAGAACAAGCTTAGCAAAGCACAGGGACTGCGGTTCAATCCCCCAGCACCACATGCCAGCCAGCCCTGCCCCCTGGTGGGCTGAGCTGGCCACA